GCCAGGAGCCCCCAGTAGCGTCCTTGCTCCTAGTAGCGATGCCAGGAACCCCTAGTAGCTTCTTGTTCCTAGTAGTAAGGCCGCAGCCCCCATAGCGTCATTGCTCCCAGTAGCGATGCCAGGAGCCCCTAGTAGCTTCTTGTTCCTAGTAGGAAAGCCAGGAGCCCCCAGTAGCGTCCTTGCTCCTAGAAGCGATGCCAGGAGCCCCTACTAGCTTCTTGTTCCTAGTAGTAAGGCCAGGAGCCCCTAGTAGCATTGTTGCTCCTACTAGCGATGGTCTCCAACCTAAGAGCGATGAATGGAGAGCTTCGGGAAGCGGAACATACCCGAGGATCGGTCCAGCCGGGGCGAACACGACCGGGCGTTCTGGTCATTCACATCACTGACAGTCCCCTGAAGAGAACCATCGAAGCTACAAAGACCAGCTACTTTCCGAAGATGAGAATTGTTAACAATTGTGTACCAAATCCAATATTAAGTACCACTATAATACCAAAGTGGCAAAGTGTACACTGTTTTGGCATACCAAAGGAGACTCCAGGTTCCTCTTCTTTCTGCTCCGTGGTACCTTTCGATGACCCGAAACCTGCTACTGTCCTCCTCCGACGCGTGCGTCTCCGTCGTTCGCCCCGCCTCCATGCTGCGGCTCTCCGTGAGGGGCTGATAGCGCTTCACCGTTGATGGAGTTGGATAAAGCCGGATGAAGTTGCCTCTGATGGATCAAGTTACCGTGCAAAAAACAAGATGGAACCCACGAACCCGAATGCAAACACGTTCCATATGCCCAAATGACGCTCTTGTAGGACACTTTTGTGGGACACTCTGGGACACTCTTGTGGGACACTCTTGTGGGACACTCTTGTAGGAAACTCTTGTGGTTCACTCTTACGGGGCACTTTTGTAGACACTCTTGTGGGACACTCTTAAAGGACACTCTTGCAGGTCACTCTTATGGGGCACTCCCTTGTGGGACACTCTTGTGTGACACTCTTGCAGGAAACTCTTGTGGGACACTCTTGTAGGACACTCTTGTGGGACACTCTTATAGGACACTCTTGTGGGACACTCTTGTGGGACACTCTTGTAGGACACTCTTGTAGGACACTCTTGTGGGTCACTCTTGTAGGAAACTCTTGTGGAACACTCTTACAGGACACTCTTGTGGGACACTCTTACGGGACACTCTTGTGGGGCACTCTTGTGGGACACTCTTATAGGACTCTCTTGTGGGTCACTCTTATGGGACACTCTTGTCGGACACTCTTGTAGGACACTCTTGTGAGACACTCTTGTAGGACACTCTTGTGGGACACTCTTCTGGGACACTCTTGTCGGAAACTCTTGTGAGTCACTCTTGTAGGACACTCTTGTGGGACACTCTTGTGGGACACTCTTGTGGGTCACTCTTGTAGGAAACTCTTGCGGGGCACTTTTGTAGGACACTCTTTGTGGGACACTCTTAAAGGACACTCTTGCAGGTCACTCTCATGGGACACTCTCTTGTGGGACACTCTTGTGAGACACTCTTGTAGGAAACTCTTGTGGGTCACTTGCCGGACACTCTTGTGGGACACTATTGCGGGACACTCTTGTAGGACACTCTTGTAGGACACTCTTGCGGGACACACTTGTGGGACAGTCTTGTCGGACACTCTTGTAGGAAACTCTTGTGGGACACTCTTGTGGGACACTCTTGTAGGACACTCTTGCGGTTTGTAGGACACTTCTTGTGGGACACTCTTATAGGACACTCTTGTGGGTCACTCTTATGGGACACTCTTGTAGGACACTCTCAAGGGACACTCTTGTGAGACACTCTTGTGGGACTTGCGGGACACTCTTGTGGGACACTCTTGTAGGAAACTCGTGGGATAAAGGAAGTTCACAAAGTGCTGCGCCGGCCACGAAATCTGCACATGGAGGTTCACAAAGTGCTGCGCCTGCCACGAAATCGGCCCATGGAGGTTCACAAAGTGGTGTGCCTGCCACGAAATCTGCACATGGAGGTTCACAAAGTGCTGTGCCTGCCACGAAATCTGCACATGGAGGTTCACAAAGTGCTGTGCCTGCCACAAAATCTGCACATGGAGGTTCACAAAGTGCTGTGCCTGCCACGAAAAGTGACAATATCATCTCATGTGAGCTTCAACAAAATGTGCACCACACCACACGTTTGGAATGATTTCGACCCGTGCTGAGCACACTCCCATCCACCAAAATCGCCACTTCACCTGAGACTTGTCACGAAAACAGAGCTTCGATGCCATACCCTGAAACGCAAATCCCAATGGCACAGCCACATCCAACACCCCAAAGCCGTGCCTCTCCTGACGCTAATCCCAATGGAACTGCGCAGCAAACTGCGGATCTCACAAACACCTGCGCCTGTGCAGCAGCGAAATGCGTCACGTTTCTTGCGCGACATGTCATTGTCATGCGAATCACAATGGAATAGGGGTGCAAACTGACACGTGACACATCCATGAAAAGTCACTTGCAAAAGCTTCCCCCAATGGCAGCGCCTTAGCGTTCTACTGCCAACGGTTGCAAGCACTTGCGGTCGGTTGCGGACGGTTGCAGACGGTTGCGAACGGTTGCGGACGGTTGCGAACATACAAACCACGGGTCGCGAACAAGACTCTACCCCCAGACCCCCAGAGTTAAACGAGAACCCTTCGCTACGCATTCGGGAAAAAACACTTTTTCTGTGTCACGGCGGTACTGGACACCAGGGGCCATTCGATTGGACACCAAAGGGGCCCTTGTAGACTCTTAATTCTTAATTTTATAAAACTCCCCATAGGTTGTACAATCCATGTCTGAAGGGGTGTGTTCATCAAGAGTCTAGAGTCTACATATGAGGTGTCCCAAAGGGTGCATCTCAACAGATTCACAATCAGGCCAAAGGTTCGCCTGAACCGAAAACGACCCGCGAAAGTATGAGATCCTGAGAGTGTCCTCAGGTCAAGGATTTTCTGTATTCTGTTCATGCTAGAAGCCTCAAACAGCCAATTCGAGAGATAATTACGCCAAATAAGCTGTTTCTTCTCAATAATACCTCTGCCATCCTCTGCCCAAGAGTCGAGGGCAACTGGCCTACAAAAAGACTGATCGAAAAACCAGGTTGTTCCACTCCCTATCGCTCAAAATGGGTGTCGTTTGGCACAGTCTGAGACACCCCTCACTTACCTCAACCAACAGATTCAACATGATTCAACTGGTTCGACCATGGCTTCCAAACCCAGCTGAATCACCAACTCACCTCACCTTCCATTGCTTTGCAGCACTGCACTGAGCCGAGAGGCAGCAGCGCTGGGTCTCCTCGAGGGCATACACTAAAAGCCGCAAATGTGGCTCGCACAAGGTGCTGAGGGAGACCTCCGGCAGGAGCAAAGCAGGTGACACCCCCTAGCCCAAGAGGCGAGCAAGGCGCCCGTGACTGGAGGAGGATCCACTGTGAGGAGCCGTTGGTTCAATCTTGTGATCAGCGGTTCAAGGTACCTCGTTTTTGTTGTCAAGTTCATATCCAAAGGCCATGAATAGGTCTCCTTGAATCACGCCCAATAGAGGTCTCGTTGGGGCAAACAGCATTCATCGGGCCCAACTCATGGGTCTGAATCTCGGATTGCCGTGTTTTGGCCAGGTCAAAAGCGTAGCCAGAAACACGACTTTGAACAAGAACGTTCTCTTGAGTCGTAGTCGCTACGACCTTCTTTTCACGTCCAACGCATCCGGGGAAGCCGCCCGGGGCCGTCAAATTACCAGAGTTCTGCCTTCCTCTTGATTCACCAACAACGACAAAGAACAAAACCACCCAAGAAAGCAACAATAACAAACCATTGTTATGCAACAAAAGAAAACAAACAAAGAAACAAACACAAACAAAGGAACAAGATGGAAGAATGGTCCAACCACAAAGAGACAAAACAACACACGAGAGATACACATGAGAAAACTAAAAAAACACACCCACTCTCTCTCTCTCTATTTATTTAAGAAGTCGGTTTATGTTTCCAAAAGAGTGACCGTTGAGCGCTTTCACCTCAGGGGCGACTTTCTTCCAAAGACCGCCGCCCAACTGGGTGCCTGCTTCTTTGGACTGAAGTACTTTCGCACCAGCCTGGGCTCGACACACGGCCGACGGTCGGACCGACGGTCAAACAGCTGAAATCGCTCCTTCCGGTCCTTCCTCCGGCCGAAATGTCGGACAGGCGCTGTAGAGATAGGTAGAGATCCTTCTTGGATGGCTGTTGCGAAGGTTCTACGTAGAAGGGAACTAAGCCGGTTCACCCAAGGTAAGCGTAGACTATATGAGGGCCTATGGGGGGCAGGACAACTCGGGCACGCCGCCGCTTCTGGGCAACACTGAGTGCTTGAAGAAACGCACCGAACGGCGATGTCGGCTATACTCTCCTGATAAAAAGGATAGCAAACAGATGCAAACAGCAAAGTAGATGGAGAGTAGATGGCACAATCCACAAGTTAGGATGGAGGCCATTTACTCTGAAACCGCTGAGCGCACGACCTGCCTCCCTTCTGAAGCGATTCGACCTTTGCTCGCTTCCGCCAAGGCACGGCTGAGGTTCCCCCTCCGCGTCACCTGGATGTCCGCTGGACCGATGCATTTTCAACACAAGTTTCTCTCCCCACACGGTGGCCTAACAGGACGTATAGATCGGGCTAAAGGCCTAATAAGGCCACTGGTCTTTAGGTGAAGATGCTTCGGATGCATGATGCATCTGTCTCATGAACTTCTGCCTGAATCATGAGAAGACCCTGTCATCACTTCTTCGACCTGTCTGAGCTGCCTTCGGCGACGGAGGGCTCCTCGGTCTTCTCCAGTCGGGGCTCCTCCGGGCGTAGGGGATCCTGTCGATGGCCCAGCAACTTCGAGTCTTTGCTCTTCGGCATCCTCACGTGACCAGCTTGCGGCTTCCGCGAGCTTGCCGGCTTTTTTTCTCAAGTTTGTTCGCATCTTGGTTCGTGGCAAACAACGCCTTGCTGAAGTGGCAACTTACCCAGCTTGCTGAGGCAAGACAGAACAAGATAGAAAATGCATGAAAAAGCGTTCCCACAATTGGAGGGTTCCAACAAGTGGAGGGGCAAAGGTTGCATAGCAGTTACCGTTGAAGTCACCTCTGTGTATATGACAATTTGAGGGTCCCATGCACCCTATCTGCATCTAAACCGGCACAGGTCTTTCACCTGTTTGGACAAAAGAGAACACAACGAAACGTAACGGGCAATGAAATAGCAATGGTCTCCATCCTAATATATATAGGCGATGGCCTCCAACCTACTAGTGAAACGTAACGGGCAAAACCTTATCTGCACTTCTCTTTCCAGGCATCTGGCTTTGCAACTTGCTCATGTACCTCACTCGATCGAAAGGAAACCCAATGAAGGCATTGCTCTTTCTCGAAGTATCACCCGGAGGAAGTGGCACGTACCATGCACTCACATGCACTCACGTCATGAAACCCAGTGACTTTCCAAAGCAGTGACGTGTGTATGGAGTCATATATGAGTCATGTGTGTCATGTCTACGCCTCTGACGGCCTAGAAACACCGATCAACCCTGATCAACCTCACCCAAATGCGATGAAAGATGCAGGAAGCGGGCCCTCAAGCGGGCAGAGGTCAAGGTCTGTGCATCCAGACGTTTCACGCCAAGGAGGTTGAAGGCATCCTCAACGGTCCAACGTGCAATGAACCGGTCTGGACATGGCAAAAAGGGCGGACAAAAAGACACATGCGTGTTTTCATTTGGATGCCAGCTGTTTAAGGCACAATGAACGTGAACACTTTGATAGTCTTTCTGCCGCTGCCCTGGGCGATCGAAGAATTCTGTCTTTTTGACGGCCGAGCATCCGATAACAAGCTACTCTTGATCTGCTTGTCCAGCGGGCTCTCCGCCTCACTGGGGCCAGGTGGGTCCGAAGTCATCACGGGTCCCAAAAGGGTCCCAAAAGGTAGCCCCTAGTAGCTTCGGCCAGGAGCCCCTAGTAGCATCCTTGCTCCTAGTAGCGATGCTAGGAGCCCCTAGTAGCTTCTTGTTACTGGTAGCTGAAAGAGAAATAGAGAGTCACAACATGTCAACATGTAGCAGGCAATTTGTGACCCTCCCATTCCAGCCTGCATACTTGGACTGAGGTTCACCTGGCTCGAGCTCAGGAATCTGGCTCAAAGGAGTTGCATATCGAGCAGAACCAGTCAAGAGGGGGACGAATCAATGAATGTTAAAAACTGTAAAACATATTCTTCCTCCAGTATCACCGTGCCATAACGTGCCTTTCACTGGAGGCCATTGCTATTAACGTGTGGTTTTGATCCACATCTATATTGCTGTCTGGTGCTTCTCATGCTTGGCTCCCCACCTGGGAGTCACAATCCATCATTACTCATTATCACAGGCGAACACTGAGTCAAACTTGGACTTTGAAGGAATCTCAAATTGATGTGGTTTGGAGTCAAACCCCACGCCGCCCCCAGCGGCCAGCCTCCAGTAGCCATGGCTTCCTGGGATTGGCGAACGACTCCCTTGAAGCATCGAGGGGCGCTTTTGCGACGATCTCTCATTCGATCCACCTCCCCCCCTGTTCGGACTTCAATAGGGTCAGGTTTCAAGTGCTCATCCACCAGGATGTCGAAGCCATACAGCTCAAAACAGCTCTGTTCGTGTAAGCAGCTCTCTTTCGTGGCCGCGCTGATCGCTGGCCTCGGATCATCGCCTCTCGCCTCGAAAACCTGGTCCCTTCGGCTTGGTGAGCTCTCTTCGGACAGATCGATAGATTCTCCGTCTCAATGTTTTCTGTATGTCCGGTAAGGCCATTTGTAAGCCCTGAAAGAAAATAGGTGGTGGAGCACTATCTTTGTGCTGCCATTTACCGACTATACCTGAAAACATGGCAACTCATGGGGTATAAACACATAACCACAAGTCTGCATGGTGACAGGAAGCGGCCAACAGGTGTTCCAACCGCCGCAAGAATGACTCGCTGAACCCATGACGACACCGCATACCTGCAAATGGAGCTTTGGAAGACAATTTTCCTCTACAACCCAGTAGTCTTCAGGTTCCATGTTACTTTTCGAGGGTGTACCCATGGTTCCAAACACTCTCAAGTGTTCCACAATGTTCCACAAACATTCCAAGGTCCTCGTGCGTTCTCACAACGCACCTGATCACTGAGTCCTTCAAACACTTTCCAATGTTCCATTGAAAGTTATACAAAAGGTCAATGTATGTCATTATGTGGATCTCGGGGTCAATCAAAGGACGGGTCCTACGCACAGCAGCCTTTGATGTCTGACGAACTTGATGTGCTTTTGAACTTGATGCAAACGGTGTGCCTTTATGAAAACATACCTTGGTATAAACGTTTTCCATTGTTTCAATGGAAAAAAAACGATCCCCAGACCCTTTCGAACAAGTCTTGGCACTTGTTCTCCAAGACTCTCGACTGCGAGCAGCGTCTTCACGATGATATCCATGATCCGACTCCACATCTCCTTCACGTTCACGCCGATACATCGGAGGTGCCGATTGAGTGCCGAAAGGCTCCACTTATGGCCATAGTTATCCGCTTGCACTCGCTGATTCTCTTGGAAGTTCTCGGCACCCTTGTTGATGGAGTAGTTGGTCAAATGTCGGTAAACATCTGCCAAGTGCTCCTGCAGAAGGTTCTTCTGTAGCTGATATGACGATCCAATCAAGGGGCAGCATTTCTTTGGCACATCAAGAAGTCAAGAAGGAGCCAAACAACACTTAAATTATGAGTCCAGTCCTACAAGAGATCTTTCATTATAGATTGTGAGAGACTTGCCCACAAATGAACACATCTGGAATGATTATCTTTCATTCGGCATATTCATGTGGATCCTAGTAACAAGTGCCTTACTAGTAGTAACAAGAAGCTATTAGTAACAGGTGCCTTACTAGTAGTAACAAGAAGCTACTAGTAACAATCAGCCGGACTCCTTTCATCCCCCGACTTCTTCCCGACCTCATCGGTGCTGTAGGCTTTGGAGGCGAAGCGGGTCAAGCCCTCGCGGTAGACGTAGGCACGCAGCGGCCGGAAGGAGGTCACCATGACATAAATTCGCAGATCAAACTTTAAGCCTGGCAGGGCGAAGTGTTCTACTAGGGGCTCCTGGCCTTACTGGAGCAAGGACGCTACTAGTAACTCCTGGCATCACTACTACGAAGAAGAAGCTACTAGTCTTCAGGGCATCGCTACTAGTAACAAGGGCATTACTAGTAGTTAACCTGTACTCGGAGACCTCCTAGACCAGACTATGAGGGACTGGTGGGACTGGACCTGCGGTGCTTTTAAAGGGACAACCCAGGTCCACCAATTGACACCCCTCGGGCCCCAAGAAGGGTCTCTAGTAGCGTCCTTGCTCCTAAAAGTATAATATGGATGCTGGTTGGATCGGACGTGAGTAGAAGATTATTCCTTCCTTAAACATGTCCAGAACTGGTCAGTGGTGATCAAGGTTTCTGGCTCTCCCTCTTCATAACCTGTCAGGTTGATTGTGCTCTGCGTGAATGGTTGCCATATGTTGCCATGTATGTTCCGAAGCGAAGTGAAGCCAAGAAATCTCACGCTCAAGCTATGCGAGGGTTGCACTACCAAACGAACACATGCGCCTGCCTAGTATAGGAACATTCAAGGAACACGTCCCAGATATTGAATTTGTGTCTCTGTTGTATCCTCTTGAAGTTTTGCAATTTTGAAAGAGCCTTTGGAAGGGACTTCCCTTGTGTGGAACTCTTGCCGCTTCATGACGCCCGATTCGTGCCTTGAATTAGGAGGGGCTTTTCGACGTAGCGTGAGACCACGACCTGACTTTCGGGCTGCGCAGGGGAAACGATGGCAGGAGCTGACACCAGGGATGCGAGGCGATCTGGAATTCGATGCGATGACCAAAACGGATTGAAGAAGCTTTACCTCCAAAAGTCACCCCCTGTGCCGATTCCACCGATGGAGTTCTGGAGAATGCTGGCACCTTAACTCGGTTGGACCAACGACCTCTGGCCCAGGAGACTTGGGTCTGTTAAAGGTTTAAGGCCCAGGGTTAAGGGCTAGAGTCAAGGGTTGTTAGGCTTAGGCCTTAGGGTTTGGTGGGCTGCCTCGGGAGATTGATTTGGACCATCCCGCCATTTCAAGGGACATGACCGCAAGTTTCTTCATTGCATTCCGAAGCACTTTGGGGTGTTTTGAAGGCTTCTATGCTTGAGGGATACCTTGCTCTTCTATGCTTAAAGACATCGGGCGCCGTATGGACAAAGGCCCACCTCAAAGCGATTTTGGCTCCTGTGAGCGGTGACCATCACTCAATGGCGATGGAGCGACAGGCGACGCCGGATGACAGGCGACGCAACAGGCGAGGCGACAGGCGACGACAGACGTTCTGGGAACCCAATGGAACCACCTGGAACTCTCAGGCTCTCTTAGCACTTTTTGGAGGCTACAGTCGAACACATCAACTGGGTGTCCATCACTGGTTTCCTCCGATACTCATCCTAGGTCGTTTCTTCCGGAACTTTGCCGCAAGAAAAATTCAACTGGCTTGCACTTGCCAGGAGCCCCCGGTTCTACAAAAAGAACACCTTTCATTCTTTTGTGTTTCCCACCCACACTGAACCCAAAAAAGGCTCAGTCTCTCCATCTCCCAGTGGCGGATTCCTTCATGGGGAGCTCGACGAGGTTCCGAAGGATGAAAATCCCACGGCCCTGGGAGGAGGCCGTTGGCTTCACGATCCAAAGCTGCTCGCTCCTGCAGCGTGCGGCGCAACGTGCGCGACGCGGTAAAACAAGCCTCCAAGAAGAGGTCCAATGGTCTTCATGTCTTGAAAGCTCTGTAGACACCAGATGATAGGTGATTTCACTCTATAGATACTTCTTAAGATAAGAAGATAATAAGTAGATACTGGTTTGTCAGGACAAACTGTTAAGATAAGAAGAGATTCCTCCCACTGTGGTCCACCCGCTTTCAACCATGATCGTGGAAGACTTGTTTCCTCCCCATTCACCTCCAACTACCCCAGCTCTGCCCGAGTCCAAGTCCGCCCCTTGGCCTGGTCTTCAGGTAACGCTGCTTGAAGCTCCGAAGCTGTTGCGGCAGAACAAAGGTCTCGGGCACGAAGTCAAAGTTCAGCTCGCGGTGCTGCTGGGCCATCCTCTGGAAGTTCTCCCACATCCGATCCTTCCTGTCCAGGTTGGAGGCCATCGCTGGTAGGTTGGACGCCATCGCTAGTAGGTTGGAGGCCGCTTCTAGGTTGCAGGCCATTGCACTTAGTTAGGTTCCTTTTGCTAGTAGGCTGGAGGCAATTTTGGTGCGTTTGGCTCCGATCGATGGCTTCGGGTCGGAAGAAGGTCGGAGGCTATTGCTTTCTAACATGGCCAAAGTCAATGGTTGAATAGTCATGAACATTCTCATGATGCCCCAGTTTTTGGCAAGTCACTTTGATAGATAGCGGATCCTGGGGTCCGCGAGCCGCCCCATCCCTCGTCCCTTGGATGTCAAAGACAGAATCTCCTGGTGAGCTCGGTACTGTTGGGGAAGTGGTTCACCTTGGATCAGCGCATCAACCAGTGAGTTCTGGTCTGAAGACAACTGGCCGATGGGAGAATCCACAGCTCTTGCTCGAGACAAAAATGCTTACCAAGACGGTCTAGAGTATGAAAACATGACATGCAAAAGGGGTATATCATGGTATATCCATGTATATCCCATTGCCAGAAACGGTGGATGATGGCTCCAGTGGGCTACACCCTTTGATCATCCGCCAGGTCGCCCGTTGAAACTCGTGCATCATCCGGTGCACATTGTCCCGCATTCGAGGGCCTGTCCAACTGATGAGCCAATCCTGCACCACGGTGTGTGCCACAAGCGAAGGTGTGGAAAACGGACAGTTGTGGCTTGGCCTAAGGTGATTTGAAAGACATTGAAAGAAGGAAGCAGATTGGATGGGTAGAATCGCCCTGAGGCATAAACCCGACTTCACGTCTAGCACTGGGTCTTGTAGCATCGTAACCCTCTCTCTCACTCCCCAGCAAAGTTTCATCCAAGGTTTTTGTGTATGCCTTATATAGCCAAAGGCAAACTAAAACATGACAAGAAACACCCACTTATAGAAAAAACATATGCAGTTTTACTTTTTTCCCGGCTTTCCTTTTTGCAACAGGCAACGACATGTTCTGCGCCACGGCCCAGTCCTCGCCCTTGGTCGGCCGGAAGCCTCGGGGGAGGTTCGTCGAAGCTTCTGGCTCGTCACCCAGGGGGGCCTTCGTGTGTCCCAAAAGTAACTGTACATAATTTCAGCATTTTCATCCATAAAACCCATAAAACCAGCTAAAGGGTAGACATTCTGCGAAGTTGGAACATGCAGGTACCGGTATCATCGGTTCGATTTCCATATAATATCAGATATACATTTAAGCCGGTGTGGACATCTGACCGTGCTGCCACAGAAGACACATTTGCAAATCCGATCCGCAATAGACCGCAGGTGCGGTGCAACTATGAAAAGATATGAACAGGCATAAATTTGATACCTTTTGAAGTAGGCCCTGCCCGGCCCTGCCCTGCTCGGCAAGACCTTCCCTTCCACTTGAAAAATCACCAAGTGCCATGCCAGGACGTGTCTTTGTGCGTTTGATGGACCAAGATTGAAAGACGACGTATCATACATTATCATACAGTCCAAATAAGTCCAATATATTGATGAGAGGTACGAGAAATGTTTTATAATGTTTTATAGCTGCCTCATGATCGGTCGGGGATCTTGGCGCGGATATGTTGTTGCAAGTTCCACCACAACATGTCACTAAGACATAGGCAATCCGTGGCAATCAATCCCCAACCTACCAGAGGTGTCCCTTGTGCCCCAGCAGCTATACAGCAGCCCTTCAGCACGACATGACATGAAACCCAAACCCAGAAACCGACCGGAAATGTGTCTGGTTCGTGTCCCGCAACATCAAACATGCCAAATTGCTGCGGCCAAAGTCGACAAAGAACCCACCCACTCTGCCTCCCACCTAGAGATCCCAGGACGGCCCCTCCCACGAGATCGTCCCGGTCGGAGCTGGCCTCCAACCTACAAGCGATGGCCTCCAACCTACTAGCGTCCTTGCTCCTAGTAGCGATGCCAGAAGCCACTAGTAGCTTCTTGTTACTAGTAGTAAGGCCAGGAGCCCCTAGTAGCGTCCTTGCTCCTAGTAGCGATGCCAGGAGCCCCTAGTAGCTTCTTGTTACTAATAGTAAGCCCAGGAGCCCCCAGTAGCGTCCTGGCTCCTAGAAGCAATGTCAGGAACAGTAGCTTCTTGTTACTAATGGTAAGGCCAGGAGCCCCTAGTAGCGTCCTTGCTCCTAGAAGCAGTGCCAGGAACCCCTAGTATCTTCTTGTTACTAATGGTAAGGCCAGGAGCCCCCAGTAGCGTCCTTGCTCCTAGAAGCAATGCCAGGAACCCCTAGTAGCTTCTTGTTACTAATGGTAAGGCCAGGAGCCCCCAGTAGCGTCCTTGCTCCTAGAAGCAATGCCAGGAACCCCTAGTAGCTTCTTGTTACTAATGGTAAGGCCAGGAGCCCCTAGTAGCGTCCTTGCTCCTAGTAGCGATGCCAGGAGCCCCTAATAACTTCTTGTTACTAGTAGTAAGGCCAGGAGCCCCTAGTGGCGTCCTTGCTCCTAGTACCGATGCCAGGAGCCCCTAATAACTTCTTGTTGCTAGTAGTAAGGCCAGGAGCCCCTAGTAGCGTCCTTGCTCCTAGTACCGATGCCAGGAGCCCCTAGTAACTTCTTGACTAGTAGTAAGGCCAGGAGCCCCTAGTAGCGTCCTTGCTCCTAGTAGCGATGCCAGGAGCCCCTAGTAACTTCTTGTTAGTAGTAGTAAGGCCAGGAGCCCCTAGTAGCGTCCTTGCTCCTAGTAGCGATGCCAGGAGCCCCTAGTAGCTTCTTGTTACTAGTAGTAAGGCCAGGAGCCCCTAGTAGCGTCCTTGCTTCTAGTAGCGATGCCAGGAGCCCCTAGTAACTTCTTGTTACTAGTAGCGCTAGTAGTAAGGCCAGGAGCCCCTAGTAGCGTCCTTGCTCCTATTAGCGATGCCAGGAGCCCCTAGTAGCTTCTTGTTACTAGCAGTAAGGCCAGGAGCCCCTAGTAGCGTCCTTGCTCCTAGTAGCGATGCCAGGAGCGCCTAGTAACTTCTTGTTACTAGTGGTAAGGCCAGGAGCCCCTAGTGGCGTCCTTGCTCCTAGTACCGATGCCAGGAGCCCCTAATAACTTCTGGTTACTAGTAGTAAGGCCAGGAGCCCCTAGT